GGTCTCGTGTGAATCACTAGTGCAGCACCCAAACATACCCGGAAACTGTAGGATTCTGTCCAAAAAATTCGTCTCGTGGGTGATGCCTCGCTTACAAACTCACTCACTTCTCTGGAACACCGTGGAAAAAATTGGCGATCTGGCTCTATTTTATAAATATTTTCATGGACGATGCTCTTCTGAAATATCAACAATTGCTCCTCCCTTGGCAGTCCCTGCGAGATTGACCCGTCAAATTGAGGCTTCGCACCCCTTCGTGGTCACTTTGGAGACCTGCAGAACATCTCTTTCCAAAGACTCGTTCACGTACAGCGATGCTCTGGAACACATTGCCAAAGAAGGTGTTCTTCAAGGCATATAACCTCCATAAATTCAGGAAGAACACCAATTCCTACCTAATTTCTCTTGGTTCTCACGATGCTTCCTGATTATCACAGGATATCCCTTTTCGTGGGAACCAGAACATGAAAAAAAATTGGACTTCCTTCCTCTTCAAGTTTCCAATCAAGCCCACCCCGTAGAATTATATTTTGATGAAAATATGTATTTGTGTATTTGAGACTTGAGCAAATAGAATATGGATTCTGGATTTTATAATGTGATTTAGATGACAGGGGCATGAAATGATATCTACCTTCTCATTTGGACGCAATTCATAGATCATCTGATGAGTACTTTTGAGTATCATACATTTTGAAAAAACAAGTTGAGTCTTTGATTATCCTTCGAAATACGAGGTGATCACACTTGAAGGGGGACACACCTCACCGTAGGTATTATATTACATTGATTTTGGGTGATAGATCCTTCTAAATATCACGAAACGAAGGGAGTGGATCTTCAAGGAAATAACAACTGTTGAAGTAAGTGAACGAGAAATTAGAAAGGCGATTCATAAAAGTTCTGGTCGATAACTAGTTGCGCTTATATATGAATATAAATGAGTACGAAAATTTCCTGATATTCAAATTTTCGAATGAATTGAATTCCTGGTGAATTGTCGCATCTTCCAGAGACTAGTCTTTTGGAGATTATGAGTTCTTGGGAATACTTCCTTTTGCAAAGAATTCCAAAGCTTTGTCGTTCTATGGACAAAAGAGTTTTGGTAAAGAGTTGGTCGACATATCTCGAGGTGTACGACGAAAGGATATGCTGACTGGGCATGTCTAGTCGTGTTACTGGTATTGCTAGTGATGGAATGATAGCAGAGATTTCGGAGGAACATTTCCTATGGAAGGGACTGTAGAAAGTGGAAGGTCGCCGAATTTCCTACAGCGTTCTAATTAGGTCAAGAAATCAGTGAGTCTGGTATCAACAACTAGGCGTATGGATCGTCTCTGAATAAAATCTAGGAGCATGTGCGTATGTTTGGGTGCTGAACCATATTTGTGTAGTAGCAGTATTCGAAAACGGGCCGTGTCTATGCTTTGTTGCTTATGGGGAGTTGTTCAGTTATGAATAAATAGCATCTTGCTTGAAATAAAAATGCGAGTAATTTTTGTGAAGCAGCTTTTGTGATAGAGATATCTCATAAGTTTTCCATGAAAGATATCGAGCATATATATGGTCATTTTGTTTCAGCAGAAGGATGAATAGGTGTGAACATCAATGCAATATTTGCTGATACCACAATTCCCATAAAGTAGGTTTCGGAACTTTAAGACGTAGCAATCTTCTGACAGAAATTACTTCTCATGCTGGCATCAGCAACATACTTCTGGAACAACTAGATCTGATTCAGGAACAGCTCTAAGAATGTTGAAGACCCAAAACACCAGCTAGTCAAGCTGTGTCATCAACTAGAAGAGGAGCTAGAAATAAGATCGGTATTTGAAGCCAGATATGCTGAGTTTATTCTACGGGTCAGCAAAATGAAGTCACCAGCGTGACAACGAAAATACTCCCATTCACCCCTTCAGATTCAGAGAGCATTCTACTCTCTCTGAGACACAATGTTATATGATTTTAGCAACAGGTGCAAATTTCAAAAGATTATTCTTGAAATTGTCTCAGTGAGCAGTTCACTGAGGAACGTATGTATAATCTTTTCTGAAAAATTTGCCACTTCCAGGAATCCTGAGACAGACTTCTTGTGATATTGATATCAGTATGACAATATACCACTATAAAAGATGAGGCACCCCTTCGCACTCTTCGAATGAATATGTATATTAAAAAAATGTAAAAATCCTGCCCAACAACTATAAACCAATTGCCCTGTTATGAGTTATCTCTAAAATGATATGGAGAAAGTCATCAACATTGAACTTCAAATATTTCGAAAGCTCAGGGATCACTAATGATAGACATTATGGCTTTCACCATCGAAGATCAAATGTTACTCATACTAGCTGTGGCGTTAGATATATCGAGAGGATTCGACCGTGTTTGGCACCAAGGACTTTTCCAAAAAACTACCATCATACGACTCACTACCCCATCTATGCCTTCTTCCATCGATTTTTTTTCCAGGCAGATCGCTCCATGTGGTGTTGGACAATGCCATCTGCTATTTGTGGGTCTCAAACTCCACACGCCCAGGAAAATGGATACCCCTGCTCAACCCTGCTCCATTCATGTCATGTTTTGTATTGTATTGTAAATATCCAAGCGAAAGTGACAATTTGAAGGTTCTAGCGCAATTCTGTATCTCTCTTCGTATACTATTAAGTAATTTTAACAACGAGAAGATCGAAGATTCTTGACCTATCATGAATTAAAAGCTGATAGCGATTTGTTTATGCACTTTTTCTACCATCCTAGCTTGTCGTTGCATAAGTTGCCGGCAGATTATAAAGTAGTATGTACATACCGATATCAAAATGATTCAAGAAAACAACGCTCTTTCCATTGCTATCATATGACCATCTTGATGAGATTATAATCTCTGGTAATGCTAGAGGTACATACCTGAGAGATTCAAAATTTTTGAGGATGGTATGATAGCAAGAGCTAAATTGAAATGTATTCCAAAACTTCAATTATAATTAGGGTAGGTATATCGAAGGGCACTATATCAAATATTTTATAAGAATATTCTGCAAAACTGACCTATTAGAAACATATTGAAAAGGCTGTTTCGATGCAAAAAGTTTCGGAGTTTTGTAATTTGGTAGGATCGTAGACTCAATATGGTCCTTATTATAACGCTGAGTTTGCGACCTCAAGCGATACCCGCTCGTGCCGCCATCTTGAAAAAATCACGTATTCATTCTGTGTGACTGTCAGAGAAAACGAATTTCATTGAGAAATGGGGGTTAGATTTTGTTATTAAAAAATATAAGTATGAATTGCTTGTCGATTTTGCTGTTGCTCCAAAGGAGCCCTCTACTTATTTATTTTCTGAAGTGTGTGTTTATTTTCATCGCATTCGATTCGTCAAAAACTATGATCCTTGCATAATATTCTGATTTTTACAATGTTGTTAATATGGAAAAGCAACATTCCGTTGAGAAACATCACTGACTTTTGACTATTGTGGCAGTATCAAACAAGATCTCAAAATATAATTTACAATGTTGCCAAAGTCACCTGTTGTTTCTACTAAATCTTCTTAAAAATTTATACGAAATGCATTTTTTGCGCAAAAGCTGAAAGGAAATTTTAATAAATAGAAAATGTGAAGTCTATGACGAGAATTGTACTTCTCGAAACTGCCTACAGACAATGATTTTAATATCATCATGAATAATGAAAACACACTTATGAACAAAAAACAATGCAAAACAGAGTAGGTAGTTCAAAAATACCAATAACTCAACTTAATTGCATTCGAATAATCCAAGAACAAACATCAATAGGTCTTGGTAAACTGAACGGGGAATTAAAAGACTTGATGTATGAAATGTTTGAATGTTTATATTTTCAATTGCTGAAATGACATCAACTCAAGCCTGTATTTTATCTAGGAATGCGGCTCTCAGATTGTTTGATGTGACAATGTCTGGTACAACAATTTCCACCAGCAATATTCTTCTATGAGAATTTCATGTCCGATCCATCGTGAAAGCTGATTCTCAAAAAGTCAGAGTTTTATTCCGTGCAAAAATCTACTACACACTTCAACAGCTTCTCATGATTCACAAATCACAGATACGGCCAGTTTTAGAACACTGTTCTCACATATGGGAATCAGTAACCAAACATACGCTAGTGTTCTTATATTTCATCCAGAGAAGAGCCATTCGCCTGGTGGGTGATGCCACACCCAGTAATCCTTTGATCTCATTAGAAAACCGTAGGAAAGTCGGCGACCTTTCACTTTTTTATAGTATACTTCCACGGAAAATATTCCTCAGAAAAATCTGCTATCATTCCATCACTAGCAATACCACTCAAACGACACGATAGGCCCAGTCAACCTTGAAATATGTCGAACAACTCCTTCGTCTATAGAACGGCAAAGCTTCGGAATTCTCTGTGAATAATAGAAGTATTCCCAAGAACTCCCAACCTCCAAAAGTTCAAAAACAACTCCAACACTCACGTCCTCTCCATATCCTTCATACATACGCAAAATGTTCTTCGAACATTATAGGAATTTCCCTTCGTGCGTTCCAAGAGATTTGAAAAATGTCAAAATTGCAACGTTTCATATATTATTTTTAAATCCAGTACTATTGATAACCCCCCAAATATCAAATTTCATAATTTCATGTGAAGTTGCTGGAATATGCGGCAGTTCTTTTATGAGCACTGATGTATGACGTATGGATGGGTATTAGAATGTCTATACAGATGACTAAGAGTTTTTGTGCAACCAACAGTGAAATCTAGTGCTATTCTCGGACCCCACCTTTGACTTACAGCTACTAGATGGCGATAGCATGATATAACCTATAGAGATATTAATGAAATTTCCAATTGAAATTATTCAACAATTTGTTTTGTTATTCTTATATCTGCAAAAGTTCTTGTTTCAAAGCAGTGTATATTCCACATAACAAAGCAGAAGAGGAGCTGAAACAATTCACTACAGAATGAGTCTGAAACTTACTCACCTCATCGGTTATATCTCCCAAATGCTGAACATCCTCCGTCTCTTTGACTTCTTCTGTCTCTTCTCTGGATACAATTTTTCGTTCCTTAACCTCCCTGACGACACCTTCTGGATTTGGCACTGCCACCCAGTTCGCATTTGCCACGAGAACATTACTCTTAGCATCTTCTAGAAGTTTTGGGCCATCTTCATCGTCATCTCCTTGTTTCCTCAGCTAAGGAAGATCAAATGTAAATAACAAATATTCATAATTGATAACCAATTATCCTCAATAACTCAGAAGGCAAGAGCCTGAAGTGCTTGGTGCTATATCACAATACCTGGAATCACAAAACGGTTTTATGTCCTACTGACAAATGATAAGGATCCTAGAATCTCATGACTGCGAGGTTCTATAAAGGGTATTGATTATAGGTTTGTCATCATTCGTCAATGGGACATTGAACCACTTTCAAATTTCCAGGTGTTGCGATAGGCTGCAGAGTTCTATCATTATGCGGCCCAATTTTCGGGGGTCTGCATTCGACTTATTCGCAAGGTGTGTGTTTCTCAGACGATATATTTGTACACATTTTGCACTTTTACCACTAGATGACTCTGAAGACTAGATCATCCTTATTTCCAATTCGAACTTTGCTTTGTAGCATATATAGGAGTTTTTTCTTCGTGAATAGATTGTCAGCTGGCTTAGTGCAACTGGTGAGACTTGGTAAGCCGAAACAGGCTGTCTTGCATCTGAAAATCTATTTACCAAATGCCACTAGAATTTTTTAGTCTTGAGTTTTCAGGTTTTTCACACGAAATTTGTTCAAACAGACAGAAAGTAAAGAAGTAAACTATACTGATATAACGATGAATCAATTGAAAAATTGCGTGTTGTATTCCATGCGAGCGTGCGTTTTCATTTCTTTCCTCAATACGTGTGCGTTTTCATCTCGAATGTCATACCAGGGCTACATATCGCTCACCGGCGACAATAGTGGCACATCTCAAAAATCTATAGAAAACGTGGAACATTTCGAAATTTGATGATGTTTCATCGATGAATACTGGCATAATATCAGATTAGATAGTTATTTCGAGATGGCACTTGTGCCACTTTGAAGTTTAAATATGTTATTAATAATTCTGGGATAGTACACTACCTAATCCATAGATCTTCCATGGATGAGGCGCTTCATATGTTCGCGGAATTGCCTTTTTCACATAATTATATGTATCGTCTACCGGTACGGTTCTGAAATGGACATTGATAACAGTAGATACATCGCAAAAAATGTGAATGTCTGTATATCATCTCGCCAGTTTTTTGACAACTTTTTTACAGAATGAATGAATCACTCGAAACCACCCTGTAAATTGTGAACTACCATCTCAACAGACATTAATACATGGGCCATCACTCTCAGAGTAATGTCACTCCAGTGAACTATCTTTGGCTCGATATTGACTTTTGACTTATCGCCGATATCGGCGAACAATTACTTCAATTTATTGCATATTCATTATCGGTTCAGTATTGACGTATTGTGAGGGCATTCCCAATGGAAATCAAATGGTTCATTCTTACAGCGAACAGAGTTTTTGTAGAAAAAATATGATTTCACTAATGATAATAGTGATAATGATATTGATAATTTGAACAAAACTTCTCGCATTTGATTATATACAGGTTATCCTTGGAAGGTCAGTATATAATAAGACCATAGACTTCTGAGACCAAAGTGAGATGATTGAATCGAACTTACCTCTATACCAAAACGCTCCGTTCAGCATTGGGCGTTGGAATTGAATTCCATTTTAATTTTTTTTGCACACCCTCTATTTCGGATTTGTCGAGACATGTGTGCCAAATATTGAATATCATTGATATGATTGATGATTTCATAGGAAAATCAAGTACGAACCTACAATGATTAAATAATTCTGGAAAGTATCAGGTATGCTTCAAATTGAATATGCTCAAGCTCAAGTAACTTGCAAACCGATAGAAATATCACAATCTTTCAAGAAAACTGAAAGCTAGGTCTTGAATGAGAGAATTTTGTATATATTTCGTATATTTGCTTCGAGATGATGGGAGCAAACTCAACTCTATACCACAAAGTTCCGTTTAGCCGCTACAGTGCGTCGTAATTGAAAATTATTTTGCATTTTCTCGTTACCATGTACTCTTTCATCACCGAAAAAGAGTGATATTCAATCATAATTTTTCGAGTATTATAGATATCTATTAAGAAAAATTCTCTGAGGATATATCGAAATCGTAGATGAATGAATGAGGTATGTGTTTGTTATTACTAGAGACTTTCAGATTCGAAATAATGAGTTACCTCTGTTTGTTGATGTTCCTGTGTTTTGGTATCCTGGCTGGTATTTGTCGTAACAATCGGTCCCGAATCTTCCACCACTTCTCCATCCTCGAGCACTACTTGCCTCTTCACTCTCGTCTCAATCTGTTTTGTATTCGTGATCTCTGTTTTCTTCTTGCTCACCCATTCCTCTATAAAAAAAACAATTTTACTCAAAAAATAAATTCTTGACTACTTTGAATCAAAGTTTCAGTCATACTATAACTTTGACGGTCGATGCTATGAGAATGAATCACAAAATCACGACTAACACTAATAATAGCCAGAAAGGAAAACCTTATCATTTAGTGAAAGAGTTACATGGTGATCATTTCAATGTCTTGCATGTGAAGTATAGAGGTGAATATCTCAAACGTAAAGTAAGATGGAAGTATAATTATAAAACAAATTTTCGAAAAATCAGAAGATGAATGTATGATTTTCAATTTCAATGGGAGATTCGGATTGAATAAGTAAATAAATATGCAACTCATTTTTTGCATGCTGCAAGTCTGATCTTAGTTTTGAAAAAAATAATCACATTCATATTCTCCTAAGAGGGGCTCTAGAATATCATCAGGAAAGCAGGAGTACTATGGTCTCCCTGTAACACGCTAATGTAGGATACGAACCAACATTTGTCACGGCAGCAAGGAAAGAAGTTCTAGATATAACTCTCTCGTCAGCAACAGCATGTGATAATATCGTCAACTGGCATGTGTTCTGACCATAGACAAATAAGATTTGACATGATTACCCCACCTGGTACTTCAACAAAGGACAGAAACCCTAGAGAGATCAACTGGGAAGGATACGCAACATCACTCAGAGAAACTCTACAAAGGACCACGGCTGACATAAGGGACAGTCATGAGAGGTCAGTAGACCAAGTAAGCAAGGCAATAGTTGCCGCCTACGAAGGTAACTGCCCGGAAAAAAACAAGACAACAAAACAATAAAACAATCAGGTGGAACAAGCATCTCGAATCCCTACGAGGGGAGGTTCGAAGGCTATTCAACAAAGCAAAACTCGACCAGAATTGGACCACATATAAGGTTGAAGTCACACAGTAAAACAAAGAGATCAGAAAATCGAAAAGGCAATCGTGAGAAAAGTTCTGTGGGGAGGTCTCAATACCTACACAGCAACTTTTGAGGAGAGTCTGAAGATGCTCACTGAAGCACACTTTCCGGCCTCAGTAATTCTAAATGAGCCGATAGTGGCAGACAGCACCATTGGTAGGCCGAATAGGCCCACTGCCATGGAATGGAGGAATTAGGTGGGCTATTAATAAATTTTAACCTCATAGATCCCCTGGAGTAGATGGAATATACTACACCCAATAAGTTTGATGTCGTTCCTGCTCAAAACACTGGAAAGACTGATAGACAGATACATAAGAGACGAGGTATTACAGAGAAACCCTCTCAACGAACGCCAATATGCGTATCAGCCAGGCAAGTCAACTGACTTAACACTGGATGATCTGAGCAGACTACTCGCAAAGTCGATAGAGGACAAAGAAATAGCTACATTCGTAGACATAGAAGGTGTTTTCAACAACGCACCAACAAATTCTATAATTATTAATGCCCTAGCAAGGAAAGCAGTACCATTACTCCTGTGCCAGTGGATAGATGTCGATTTGAAAAATGACATTATCATATCAACAATTGGCGAGGCAACTCTGACAGCAAGAGCAGATAGGGGATGCCCACAGGGAGGAGTATTATCGCCCTTACTATGGGCCATTCTAATGGATGAACATTCAAAGGGTATCATTGCTTAGGATACGTCGACGACTTGGCGGTTATCGCTAAAGGTAGATTCGCAAGTTCGGTCTCGGAGCTCACACACACCGCTCTAAACATAATTGACAATCGGTGTAAAGAGGAGGAACTCACCCTGAACCCTCATAAAACCTCTATAGTGAATTCCTCGAAAAAGAGAGTACTGGAAGAATCAAAGCCACCAGTACTCAATGTGGTAGAAATTCCGTTTGCCCTAGAGGCAGAATACTTAGGAGTCATCTTTGCTCATAAGTAAACATGGAATCAACACCTACAAGAAATTGTTCGAAAAAGTACAGTAGCCTTCAATCTGTGCAGACAAATGTGCGGAAAAAATTGGGGACTGCAACCAAGAATGACGACATGGGTCAGTAGTTTGGTGGCCAAAGACACAACAGGCTGAAGTAAATCGAAGGCTCAGTGCTATTCAGAGGCAAGCTTGCCTGAGTGCCACTGGTGCAATGAAAACCACTCCAACAACCGCTTCAGAGATCCTCTTGAACCTGCCACCACTACAAATATATATTCAAGGCGAAGCAACGCGCACGGTAAGGAATATCGAAAGCTATATAAAGAGTTGGAAAGCGACTCCATCATGGGAATACCAACGGATGGCAGAATTCCAAAATATGGCTTTGAAAAAACTTTTGAAATAAGTATAACGGACAGAGAGGCATGGAAGGAAGGACCTAAATGCAGACATTGCTGTCTATACGGACGGCTCCAAAACTGAGGAAGGATCAGGAGCTAGTATTTATGGGGTCAAGCCAAAGACAAGAATCTCACTGATCTTAGGTAAATACGCGACGGTGTTTCAGGCAGAAATCATTGCAATACATCATTGCGTGAAAGAATTGATAAGGCGAGAGTTCAAAGGCAAAACCGTTGCAATCTATTCAGATAGCCAGGCGGCAATCAAAGCAGTCAACTCTATGCAAGTTAACTCAAAACTAGTATGGGACTGCTTGAAAACCCTAAATGAAATGGGCAGTCAGAACAGATTGACTCTAGCATGGGTACCAGCACATACTGGGTACGAGGGCAATGAAGAGGCAGACTCACTTGCCCGAGCAGAAGCAAACAAAGCTCTGAATGGCCTAGAACCACTCTGTGGTATTGTGAAAGCTATACAAAAGACTAGTTTTAAATCATGGATGCAAACCAAATCTCAAGAATGGTGGAACAACTTGCCAGGAATGAGATAGGCAAAAGAGTTTATCAAAAAACCATCGCCAACATTCACAAAATATCTACTGAGCCCGAAACGAAGCTCAACTAGAATATCAGTGGGACTCCTCACAGGGCATTGTAGGCTCAACAAACACATGAGTACTCTGCAGGTTCTGTCAGGAAGAGGAGGAAACAGCAATACACATACTTTGCCACTGTGAGGGCTTGTCAAGACAAGGTTCCTTACGCTGGGTGAGGAAAAACCAGAAGCCCAAAGATACACAGGGGATCTGAAAGATAGCCAATGGAGTCTCATAGAGAAGGCGGGGCTAGCCGAAGAACTCTAATCGATTTTGAGGGCAGACACAATAGATCTGAAGAGGTCGCGGTGTGGAGGCAGATAGTCCAAAGGCCCCATTCTTGATCTAATCTTATCTGATCTAACACGCGTCCTGGATTATTCTCGAACATCCTGACGATTCTAACATGAACCAGCGTATTACCGAACACCCAATATGTGTTAAGGCGACACATAACCTGACAAAAGAATCTGGATTGATCGCGAAACAATCGATTGAACAATTAGGAAGAGAGATATTGATCTATGTCTATAAGCTTCTAGAAAAAAAGAAGTAGTCCAATCAATGCATGATCCAAGCGGGGTTGTAGAGTGCGTGAGCAGGGACCTGAACGATTCCTTCAAAAACTCGTTTGAGGTTCTCGAAGAGTGAATATACTGAGACTCCTAGCGTCAAAGAGGAGGTGAGCAAGAGGAGAGGGGGGCAATGAGAGGGTTCCGCTTCTGGGTTCTTCGCTTATGTGTCGATAACGGTTCGTCGTGGAAAAACGAATTCTCATAAAGAATGGAAGCTAATAAAATTCTCTTCAACTCTTTCACGACTCATTTCTTTGGAATTCTCAACCGATTTCAAGTTGCACCCCAACTTACTGCTGCTTCTGAGAGTAGAAATACGTAACCGGCTGTAGACTTTCGGTCTTCGGAATCTCCAGCTCAATCGGAATTGCAATTACCATGAAGTTCTTGATTTGATCCTCAGAAGCTCAATTTTAATGAAAAGGCTTCCTTCGAGTACCTCATAATACCCTTCACCGCGGTCCAGTGAACTTTTCCGGGATTGTTACCAAATCTGGCTAGCTTTCTTACGGCCAATGCAATGTCCGATCTATTGTACTGGGCTGCATACATGAGACTGCCTATAGCTTCTTAATATGGACCTGTAGAAATTTCTTGCATTTCTTTTTCATCTCTTCGTTGCATTTTCATGGACAGAGTCTGGTTTGGGTCAAGTGGAGTCTGAACCCCATTACAATCACTCTTATTGTATCGTGCCAATACTTTCTCTATATATTTTTCTTGGTCTAAAGTTATCGAACTATTCTCTCTGTCACGTTCAATACGCATTCCAAGGCGCGCCTTTCCTGAGTCTTTTATTCGAAATCTCTTCATAAGGTCTAATTTGAACTTCATCCTCTGATTTTCTCAGAGAAAATTAGGAGATCTTCAACATAAATCTGTTGTTCTGAGCTGCTGAAAAGTGCGAATCTTCTATAGCCCTACCCAGTTCTTGATTCCAGGTCTTACTTGATTGTTTGATCCCATACGGTGTTCTCATAAGACGACATGATTTTCCGTTCTCTTGTTCTATGTCAATTTCTTTGATCAGCTTCGGATGTAAGAAAGCAGTGACCACATCCATCCATCTGGTCTATCTCCCAGTTATTTTGTGCTGCTAGCAAGAGCAGTCGTAGTGGTATGAAGCTATACCTCATAACATGGAAAAAAAGTCTCTCAAAAGTCGATGCCTGGTATTTGCGAGTAACCTTTTGCTACCAGTCCAGCTTTAAACTGTTCAATTCCACCGTCTACTGTGAATTTGATTCTGGAAGTCTATTCGCTTCTAACTGCCTCCTTATTAGCAGGAATATCTCAAATCAATAAGGTTCTGTTATCAGAATGAGTTTTCAGATCTTCCTCCATTGCCATTTTCCAGTGGATTGAATCAGGCCCATTCAGTGCTTCTTCCACAGTTCTGGGGGTCACAGCTGACATCTAGCATAGCTTGATATAAATGGAAGTCTTCGTTGGAAATAATTTTATTCGATCGATTCGTACGAGCCATGAATAACAGCAAGAACATAGCCGAGAGCCATATGCCAGATCCTACTGAAG